TGCTCGAGGCGAAGGTAAGTTGTTATTACCGTCATAACCAGTCATTAAGTGTTTTATTATACCGAACAAACATGGCCAATAGTCTGCGGAATGAAATAGCACAACTATTTCATTATTTTTTTATATAGAAAAAAACATATTGAGGCATAATAATGATTTATAGTAATTTCGTACCCTTAAAAATACAATTTCGTATCCTGACAATTTCGAATCTTGACCATTTTGTACCTCATGGATTATTTATTTGTTAGCCATTTCCTACCTCGTGGAATAGCTATATGTTGCCATTTCGTACCTCATTGAATAGTACATCTATTGACTGGTTATTAGGGCTATATAGCAAGTTTTTTGTCCCTGACATACCAACTATTTCTCGAGGCGAAACCGAGGGCAATGGTTACTATCCAAGGGACAACCCTCAATAGTTAGTATCAAAGGGACAACAAACTTGCTTTTGCACTCATAACCAGTCATAAAGTGTTTAATTATACCAATAACATAATAATTTTCTTTTTGGAAAAACAAACAAATAGTCACACAAACATGTACAAGATAAACTATCCGTTTTTGTTTACCCGTGTGGTATTTGTCAATATTTTATTCACATATCAAGACCAGGAATCCTTGTGTAAAAATTCTCGTGCATTAATAAACGCTTGCTAAAATATAATACCAGACACCAAAGTAATCCCAGATTATGAAGACGACGACAGACCAATACCATATATTTGTTATGTTGTAGTTTTCTTAAAATATGTCACCAAGATTTTCTTTTTGTTTTTTTTAAATTGCTTCTTGTAAGTAATATATCAATTTGAAATTGCGACTACAGACAAATACAGATTATACCGTTTACGATATTGTAGAGTTTAACTTTGCCAAGTGCACTTGTAAATCCAAGCAGAATAGGCAATGACGTCATTGTCGACCAATGAAAACATAGTATGAAAAAGTACTGGAAATAAGTTTATTATCAATTAAACTATTGACCATGATAATAGTCTTTGAAATTATTGACTGGCAAATAGTCTGTGGAATGGAAAAGTAAAATATTTCATTCTTTTTTTATATTAAAGATAAAAACATACTGAGTTTCACAGTAATAACATACTCTAACTTTGTTTAAACCTGTTTATTTACTTTTGACTTTAATTATTTATCCCTTGTAATTTTTTATTAACTGTGTATTTGCATTCAGGTGTCACAGGTCAAATTTATTCGTTCATTGTGTGTTAATTTACGTTTTTTGATTGAGTTAAGCCTTCCAATTGATATTTTATAGTGTGTTTTTCTATGTTGTGATGTTATACTATTGTTTCAGAAAAGGGAGAAGGTTTGGTACCATTAAAACGTTTAATCCCTCTGCAAATGTTTGCACCTGTCCTAAGTCAGAAATCTGATTACAGTAGTTGTCGTCTGTTTATGTAGTTCATACGTGTTTCTCGTTTCTCGTTTTTATATAGATTAGACCGTTGGTTTTTCCGTTTGAATGGTTTTACACTAGTAATTTTTTGGGGCCCTTTATAGCTTGCTGTTCGGTGTGAGCCAATGCTCCGTGTTGAAGGCCGTACCTTGACCTATAATGGTTTACTTTTATAAATTGTAACTTGGATGGAAAGTTGTCTCATTGGCACTCATACCACATCTTCCTATATCTATATATGAGGTATATAAATATATTACACCTATTGACTGGTTATTAGGGTAAACGCAAGTGTGTTGTCCCCGAGATACAAACTATTGCTCGATGCGAAACCGAGGGCAATAGTTAGTATCAAAGAGACAACAAACTTGCTATTGCACTCATAAATGTTTTTAAATTTTGAATATCCAGAAGAATACTCAGAATACTCAGAATATAATAAAATATAAATTTTTTTTTCTGATATATCAATCCTTTTTTTAGTCTCTGTACCAAAAGGTGTAATACCACTATTGATTTTCCCGTATTAGTCTTTGTTGAATTTGCACTTTTCAAAAAATTGTGCAGCATTTATCTTTGTTTCAAATAAAGAAATACTTGGCATGAGTAAAGTTTTATCCTGTCCAGTACTATAGACAAAATTTCACATAACATTTCATTGCATATAAGAAAATAACCATCACTGGAAGGTAACCAATCAAATTTTCACCTCTTTTTTTATCTGTGTACAAGCTTTAGTAACCATGTAACCTCAAGTTTCCAAAATATTCTATAGAAACAATAAATGAAAAAATAATGGTGCTTTGAAACACCCAAGATATATGTTTATGACCCAGAAATGTTTTACTGCAATGAAATGTAGGATTAATTTCTTACAACTGTCAAATTCAAGGGAATATATTTTTTTTTTGCAACCGGATGTGACGTACTATGATTGGGTGGTATTACAGGGGTAAATTCAGTACAAAAACTCCCATTTACTTTAATGCTAATCTATGTCTTGAGTTAAATTTATACCTGATTTACCTTTGGAAATTAGAAGCTTTCATATATCATTCATGAAAGTACAAATGTTGCACTATCTTTTGCAACAATAAAAACATAGGGTTATGCGGCATTTTTGGGTATTCACATGGCCTTGTTTACAAACACTGTAGATTAGCACTTAAATCCTTTACTGACCCCCATTACTTTTCAACCCTGTAAAAATTTAGTACATTCAGCATTCATTTTTTAATTTTTTTTAACTCTAGTTTTGATCCATCTATCAAAAAATATTTGTCACAAACATTATCTACCAACCAGAAGAGCACAGGACTTCAGTTTTATACAGAAAGCTCTCCCCCAAATGGGCGGTCCCTGATGACGTATATTTATTAACTGAATTTACCCCTATAAGGGACTTTTTAACTTCTTTTCCTACTTTTTTTGTAATAATCATGTAATGTATCCAATTTTCAAGTTCCAGTTTCAATACAACATTCATAAATGCTTAATTTGTAAAAATAGAGGAAAATTTATACTACAGCCCATACTGCGGCCAATGTGTATTTTGTATATAAAGTTGCACATTGACTGTTTTTAAGTTAATGGTGTAAAATACTATGCTTAATAAATATGAATTGTTTTCTGTGTTTGCTTTGACCAGTATTGCAAGTACATCTAGGAACTAAAGTCTTGATGTACTCTTAGTTAAATTTTGCCTTATATGGAAGTTTTTGATTAAATACCCTGAAAAGACCACAAAAAGACTTTTCAAAGGCTTGTAAAGCAGTTTCATACCAAAAAAAAAAACAACAATTATGTTTCATTTTACTAAATCTGTGTTTTAATTACTTGTAAAGTTCACAAAATGTCATTGACAATCACTCTGCTGAAGTTCTTGTTACCCCAACATCAGGATGGTTTCTTCGCCAAAACTAGACAGCCAAAACTGAAGTAGAAAAAAGTGCCAAATATGAAAAATTAAGACTGGGTATGACCAAACTTTGCATTGGAAGATTAGGGTAACAATTTAGAATATTTAAAAGCAATTATTTAACATAGCAATCCAATTACAAACATTTCAACACTAGTTTCATAGATGGAGGGTATGTAATCATGAAAAGTCGTCTAGTATTTTTTCAATTAAAGAAACGCAATGAATTATGTAAAAATAAATGAATATCTACATACAGTCTGATTATTCGAGTGTTAAAATACTTGAAAAGTGCTTATTTACAACTTGATCTACAACTTAACATGGGGAACACAGCTAACAAAAAATACAGTATGTCAAAGGGAGGTAATTCTGATTTTCCATATGACTTTACACATTATTAGGAGAAATATGTGCAAAATGTGATGTAAAATGGGGAGAATATTTATGCCTTTCATTAATATCATAACTCTCAAGTGTAATTTCTATTGTTTCTTTCAATCTGGACACAAAACTGATTTTTTACCATATACACAATGCTTCCTCCCATAGTACACACAGTGCATCCTGGATAGCCGCAGTTAAACATAGAAATTTGAATAAAAAAACAACTTTAACTGGTTCTAAAAAGCTTCCATTGCATTAATTTTTACAGGAAATGAGTTTTGTGATTATTGTGTGGCCTTGAATAAGTACAGTGACAGAGTGCATATTTTCCTATAGGGGTAATTTCAGTAAAAAATCTCCAATTGACTTTAATGCTAATCTGTCTTGAATTAAATTTATACCTGATTTACCTTTAGAAATTAGACGCTTTCATGTATCATTCATGAACGTACAAATGTCGACATTTGAGATCCCCATGCCACAAGAAGACATATCTCAATCGACTGTACATCACAACCATAGACCACAACACTGCTTTGTCTAGGGAGGATATACTCGTTCAGAAAAGATTTGGGATGATAAAAATTAAAACCTTTGGCACTAAATGGGATCAATGAAAATGTGTAGTTCTAATTCGCGCATTACTTTTCATTTGGGTTATATTTCATATTACTATGCAGTCACTGTTGCTTTTTCTTTACTTTTTTCAATTATAAAATTCTAGAATTATACCAGTTTAAATTGGAGGGTGCTATTCATTTGGAATGTTTAAGTACGCAGCCACTTTCAATTACTTAACCTGTTTCAAAATGAATTTCTTTTTTAATCATTATCAAACTGCGGAAATTTTAGAAATATACCTGTTCATACCGCACATTACTATTTTCGTTAGTAGCATATCTATGCAGTCTCTGTTGTAAATACCGAACCTACGTCTTTTTTGAATTTTTAAAATTGTACAAACGTTGCTGTGTCCTGTTTAAATTGTATAATTTTCAAGAGTGTTATAGTTAAATCAGAATAGATTAATATGAAATTTATATCATAATCATACTGATGAAGGATATCTGTTATCCGAAATATTTATAGATAATTACATTTAATGTTCCCCTTTTTTTAGATATTGGTGTTGTTTTGTACACTTTTAAGGCGTTTATATATATATATATATTATATTAAAATAATGTATAATTTGTTTTAGAAACACCAAATGTTATGGACAAAAACATGTCAAGATATATCTATATCAAGATAACATATAATTTATTTCAGAAACAGCAAGTGCAATAGACAAAAATATGTCTAGACATATCTCGACGTTTGAATCCACATACCTAAAAGGTCAGACGTATATGGTCAATTTACTGAAGGAAACAGTTGGTGATTTCAAAAAGAAAACAGATCCGTTAAGACAGGAATACGCGATATTAATCAAAGAATTGTTTAAAGGTAAATTTAACAGTTTGATCATCATATATCGTCACTAAATACCGTCATGAATAATTGTAACATATAGGATTGTCAATTCAGTTAAATATTTTTAATTCAAAGTAGCATAGATTAACTTAATTAACAAAGAGCAAGCGAATAACTAAAATAGTATCGAACGATGTTGTGTAAGTACAGAACCACAGGAATGTTATTAAATGTTATCAAGTTATCATAACTATTGTAATCTAACCGCCTTTTGAGTGAAAAACTTGTAAGTAAACTTAGATAGATATTGTAAAGCAGTTGGTTTTTTACGAAAATATCTTTCCATAACAATTAAAAACAGTTGTAGATACTGTATAAAGTATTGACGCTGTCATATAAATTGACCAATATTAATTCAAATGTTTACCAGATATTTCAAATATTGCTTACAGTTTTGATCAAACTTCACATTTTTAGAACGAACGCATTAATTATGTATTTGGCACAATCATTTTTACCATTTTTGGTACCCAATGAATGAAAGATCTTTATTTCAGAACTTGCAAATAGTAAAACTTAAATTTAAATTTCAGGTTGAATGTAAGAAACATGATTATTCATCGGTTGTTGAACGTCTAGTAACCAATATACATATTTGAGATAGTATTAAGATACCAAATAATGAATAAATTAACAAAACTGGTGAACATATTGATCATTATGACATCAACAAGGAATGGTTAACAATTTATTTCACGCCTTTTTTTTTTTACAAAAATTCGCTATATTTCAGCTCCATGTGTGTACTTTAAGTTTTTTCAATATTGTAAATGATAAAAACAGGACCTAATAAAGGCATTGTATGTTACGATAGAGACTATTCAAAGATGTGACAATGTATGAAATTATCTAGAAAAACATGATACTAGTATCTGATTTCAGCTCTCAAATTCTAAGATGACCAATAATCATTTTTTTTTTATCTTATTGTAGGGTTTCACTTTTCACTAAAGTAGAAAGAATCCTACACTGTATCTGATTTAAAACATATTATATTTACTTTAGTTCGTACAGCATGTTCTAAGTCAGTAATAAAAGAAAACAATTTTATCGGTATGGTGTGCTTTAATCGTTGTGTTTCAATAAAGCCGTGTTTAATAGATAAACTTTTTCTTCAATAATAGTACGCTATGTATCTTATCTCTTTTCAAGACCTTTTTACATGTTTTATACTCATTTCAGTATCAACGAAGTATGCGTTTTTTGCAACTCTATCATCTGATAAAAATAATCTTCCTAACAACGCCGTCGTAATATTTGATGCGGTTTCATTAAATGAAGGTCACGCCTATGACAGAAGAACAGGTAAATTCACCTGCCCTGAGGATGGAATATACCATTTCTCCTGGACCACAGTTTCCGGTGCTGGTAGAGATTTCAGTAGTGTATTAGTAGCAAACGACAAGAAAATTGCAGCAAATGCTGTTGATAGTGACTCAGTCAGCGATACCATGACAGGTACCAGTAATGTTATTGTGCGAATGATCAAAGGACAGAAGGCTTGGATTGCAGTTCAAACCAGCGAAGGGACTCATTTGGACGTGAGATGGAATGACGCACCATGTTCAATGCTTTCCGGATTTAAGTTATGATCAGTTTAGACGGGAACTTAATTATACATGTTATATGACTAAAGATAACAATTATATGACATTTACCTAGGATGTTTTATACTTTTATGTGGATCTTGCTTGTTTTTATTCAGTTCGATGTAATCAGAAGGAAATATAATTTGATAGATAACCATAAAGATTGCTGAAAACTATATAATTTTTAATATTTGAGTCACAATTTTGCTTATACATGAAATGTAATCAATCGATATTGAAATGTTTACCCTGTATTGCCATTCACTAACAATCTGAAAATAATAAGCGTTTCCTTCCTTTTTCAAGACTTAATTCATGCAGGCATTATCTTAATCAGAATCGAATCTAACAAACGATTTCTATTTGCAAAAGAGAAAATCTATTTTATTCCCTTTTTTTCTACTTTGCATGTATGTGAAGTTAGCGGCTGGTTCGTTATTCGTTATTCGATATTAAGTTTGCCTCATACTATTTTGATCTGAACGTCACTGATGAGTCTTTTGTAGACGAAACGCGCGTCTGGCGTATCAAATTATAAGCCTGGTACCTTTGATAACAATCATATCTTGACTTACATCTAGAAATTGACAATGAGGGTCGGTCGAAAACAAAACTTTACGACAAAAGAGATGATTTCAGCTTCCCAATTATGAACTTTCCATTTCTGTGTAGCAACATTCCAGCAGCGCCTGCATACGGAGTATACATATCTCCCAATTGATACGATATTCCTGGGCTTGTATTTCCTATCATGATTTCCTTGATAGAGGGTTGCTGCTCACAAGGAAGCTATTAAACCAAGAGTTCCAAATGGTGAAGTTGAAATCATCCCTTCGTAAATTTTACGGACGCCATCACGAGTTGATTGACTGTAACGGGATATCCGTTTCACAGATGATATCGGATATGTTCCTTATGTCGTAACTACAATCCCGTTCCCTTTTCACAAATGTGACCTACCGAACTAGACTATTTACCGGGTTTGTGATAACATGAGTAAAATGACTGGTGCCACATGTGGAGCAGGATCTGCTTACCCTTCCGGAGCACCTGATATCACCCCCAGCTTTTGGTGGGGTTCGTGTTGCTTAGTCTTTAGTTTTCTATGTTGTGTCTTGTGTAATATTGTTTGTCTTTGTCTTTTTTAGCCATGGCTTTGTCAGTTTATTTTCAATCTATGAGTATGAATGTCCCTCTGGTATCTTTGCCAGCAGTCGGTTCGATATTCCAAATTTCTGAGTTAATATAATAAACATTCGATAACATTAAAAGCATGATAGTAATTAGTTAAAAGTACTAAAATTCAGAGATGTAGGAAATCCTTTTGTGACCAATTCAATTTATCGCAAATTCTCGTTGTCCCCAAATATAAACCCTTATGTAAATCGAATAATTCTCTTTATGAACTATAGATATTTATCAATAACATACAATCAAAGATGTACATTCGAAAGATGATATTTCAAGAAACAAAAACAAACGGTCACTCTAGTAAGATTCATAAATAGAAATAGAAACAACTATGGAAAGCCAAAAAAAAAGATATTTTCGATTGACTAAATAATAAATAAACTATATACATATAAGAGGGCCAAGGGGTTGGCTAGATCTTCCTGATAAAATAATTCAAAACGGAAAGTCCCTGAGCAAATACCAAAATCAAAAGCTAAAACACATCACACGAATGGATAACAACTGTCATATTTCTGACTTGGTACAGGCATTTTCCTATGTAGAAAATGTTAAATTTGTTTTTGATAAATGTACCTACCACCCCTTCATAAACTTTTATGTAAATCGCACATTTGTCTTTATGAAATATGTATTGTTAAAATACAATAAAAGAAGTACTTTTATTCATTATAATACTTTTAAACAAAAACAAACGATCACTCTAGTAACATTTAAAAATATAGAATAGAAACAAGTATGCCTGTAAATGTTAGAATTAAGGGAAACAACTTTCACAAGAATGATAATATATATTGTTGAAAGATTTTACTGTTTATTATCCATTTATAGATCAGGTTGTATCGAATTTTGTACTTAAATGTACGTTTTTTTTGCGATCCATTCGCATCGAATGTTTAATTCTCCGAGCAAGGTCCGTTTTCCTAGTGACTTTTAACAGTTTTAAGAAATTGTTAAACTTTTGCTGAATAACTATTAATCAATTTTGTAGAAATGTTTTGCTGAAATTTTATAGTCAAGCTGCATACAGATGCGGAAATATGTTCCAATTTCCTATATAGTATACAAACATTAAAACATTATTTTGGAATTTATTTGTATAGCAGCATTTGGAACCATGCCTTAAATGTAATGTCCAAGAAAAAAAGTTACAAACCAAAAACGGTAAAACTGTGTTTAATTTTAAATAAATCGTTTTATCTTAAATTTGTATGAAAGAGCTAATCCTGTAAACTCCCTTTGACTACCTTGACAACTACAACTGGTATAAATTGTTCATTGTACATCCTTTTAAATTATTTAGAATAGGTATACAGCAGAAAATATTGATATGTTTAGCTATCTACAAATAGTTCTGTGGTAGAGCTTCTCTAGAACAATTTAGAATGTTCCTATGACAGATCATTCTGACAGTTTTGAACAAAGTTTGAACGGATCCAAAATGTTATTTTCAAAGTATTGCATTGATTTATTTACATGTTTTTACTGCTCATTTTAAATACATGTAGTTACTCAGATTGTTTAATTATTTTACTATTTTTTAAGGATTTCTTAAAGGATATGGTTGGTCCCCAATGCTATTGTTTGATATATACGTTTCTTGAGTAAGCATTTTATAGCATTATAGTAATGTTGCAGTAAATACGCGATACGTTACTGGTGTAACTGTAGTTAATCTCATTTATAATTTGTGCAAAGAAAAAAAAATCAATCTCATTTATAATTTGTGCAAAGAGAAAATCGACCTAACTATTTTCCCAAAATTATACAAAAACCTTATTGATTCTTTTTAAAAGACCCTAAAATTAAGAGACATAAAACATCTTAGGATGAACATATGATCTCCAATCAAAGACAAAAATTTTTATCCTTGTATGTCAAATTAAAAAAAAAACATGACATTGTTGACATTCGGTTAAAAAGATTAAAAACTCAAAGAATAATTCCATCAGCAGAGCAATTATTGGCTGGATCCACAACAAAAATACAAACAAATGAGTAATAAACTAGAACAAATCACACAAGAAAATAAAACAGCCCTCATGTGTCAACGAAGGCAACCAAAAACAGATATTTTTTTTTGGGGTTAAAAATTGAAATAACAAAAATACCGAACTCAGAGGAAAATTCAAAATGGAAAGTCCCTAAGCAAATAGCAAAATCAAAAGCTCATACACATCAAACGAATGAATAACAACTGTCTTATTCCTGACTTGGTACAGGCATTTTCCTATGTAGAAAATGTTATATCAGTTTTTGATAAATGTACCTCCACATAAGGTATATTTCTGCCGGAAAATGCAAGCCATAGTCTTTGGTCAAAATATCAAATTCTATTATGAAAAAAGTAAAATAACATAAATACTGAGGAAAATTCAAAACGGAAAGACCCCAATCAAATGGCAAAATCATAATTTCAAACACATCAAACGAATGGATAACAACTGTCATTACATATTCCTGACTTGGTATAGGCATTTCCAAAACGTTCTGCTTTTGCTAAACAACAGTGTGATAAAATTTTCGCTTTCGCATGCTTGAATTTGCCTCCTGATTTTCATAGGACATACTTTTTCCCGTTTACTAAGTAATAACGCATTAATGACCAATAGAATAAGATTTCAAAAACAAGAAGTGTCCCTGGCAATTTTGGAATAAAATTTGTCTTAAATTATAAGAGTGTTTGTACTTGGTTTCCACAATGATTTTTATATACCCTGTCATTTAAATTCTTGATTTCAATGAATACTGTTTAAAAGACAAGTAAGTATCACTTAAATAAAGAAAATAAATGCGGTTCTGAATACCTTGAGAATAACGCAATATTAGTATTGTGGTCATTCATCATCCGTGCAGTTACTTTGTGCACAAAAAGGTGTGTACTTTGAAACCTTGTGAATTGAAATTCAAGCAACTTGATGATGATGACAATCATTTTTAGCGTTCATAATGAACTTGTTTATTGACAATTTATATATCATAAAACTTAGATAATGAATGTTGTTGTACCAACACGTGTGATACAGTTAGTCAGCCAAAATCAATTTTCACTTTACCAATTATAAGATTTCTCGAGTTGTAAATATGTGCTAAATTTGATAGTCAGTGCAAAGGTATATACTATGACATTAAATACTTGGTGCACAGCCTTTCGGTCCAAATTTCATAGTAAGGCTAACCGGGACATATCTATATTTTGCGCAGACTCAAATATACATATTTATGACTTTGCCTGTTTACAGCTTTTTATTGATTTGTGTCAACAAGATTTGTTCAAGCGTGACCTTACGTGACAAAACATAAACCGCGGGTGGAGCATAACCCAAAAATTGTTGATAAGGATGTTCGCTATTCTTGTGTTTGACCTTTTGTCAGATATTCGGAATCCTCTGGTTTTATCTATTTAGTGACATTAACATTTTTGACTGCTAGCCCCTATTTTATTTTCATAATTTTATTACATATAGCTTAAAAAGCAATATTTGAAAATCTTCAGAATTCCTTGTTATTTTTCAAAGTTTTTGAAACAAAAAAGTGCCAATGTTCAATGTATGAAAAATCTACACAGAATCATTTCCCGCCAAAAGAATCTATCTCCATTTCAATAGAATCTATCTCGAAAACAAAAATACGGACTATTCATTGTTTCTTGCTTTTTTAGTTCCCTTATGTATAATCTATCAATTTATAACAGTCTTTTGAAAATCTTGTTATTTTGAAACAGAGTAGCAACCAGCCTTAATATCAATCAGACATTCTTTAAAAAATATATTTGTATCGCTATATATTAACAGAGATATATAACAAGCCGTCAATCAGTTAAAATGGAGATTTGTATGATCCATATTATTACTTATACAATGTGATAGTGACCTAATACGATATATACGGGGTCAGTAAATTCCATATGTGGCGAGAGCAAGCGAATTCGAAGCTCGATCCCCAAATGGAATTTATTGACCCCTTATATATCATATTCGGTCACTAAAACACTGTGTAACGAATTCATCTTACGCACTATCGAATCTCTGAAATTTAAATGTAGTTATACAATTATAAATATTATTTAGTAAATGCCATACTAAATGATTAATATGAGTGAAAGTCGGC